AATTTGGCGCCCCCTTCGTTATTTTAACGTGAATCAAGCCCTATCGAAGCCCAGCCTATTCAGAATTCAATCATCGAACGTGACACAATTCGCGCACTGACGCGAACGTGACGTCACGTCTCTGGATTTTCAGTGTATAGCCAGTGCGCTCGCCCGCACCCAGATGCACGGTGGCTGCGCAACTGCACACGCCCCCAGCACGGCACAGCACCGCACCGCGGCGAGGTCCAAGAAGGTCTATCAAAATCGCATTTCGGCCGCTCCCCTCCCCGCAGTGTATACACTGCTCGGCACGGTGCGCACTGTGGGCCAGTTCATCTATGTCCATCCAGATGTCCTCGGCAGTAAATCCCGTTCCAGTATCAGGATTCATAGTCACCCCACAAAACGTGTCCCCTCCCTCTCTCCCTCCCCTCTGGCTCGCGCTCCCTCCCGATCACGCTGCCCCCTCCCTCCCCCGCCCCGCTCCACCCCTCGCGACGCGTCGCGCCTGCTGGTTGTGTTGACCCCATTCGATGCTCATTTCAAGCTTGCTCGACGCCCGGAGAGGGAGACAAAAAAAAGCGTAAACGAAGAGAGACCGGAGAGAGAGAGAGAGAGAGAGAGGAGGTTTATTATTTCCGATCCACCGTATCATCCCCGCGTGGAAAAAGGGAAGGGTTTGGTGACGCCACGGCCAAGGCCACGTCGACAGGACGACAGGTGGAAGGGACTCGCCGTGGCGATCAATTTTCCGTGTCGCGGAGAAACAAGTAAATGAGATTGCCTTGTTTGCGTCGCCCGAGGAAAAGTTTGACCGCGGCGTGGTCCGCCCGCGCATTCCGTCTCGCTGGAGCCTTCGCTGGAGACGCGGCCGCTGGAGCCTTGCTGGAGCCTTGCTGGAGCCTTGCTGGAGCCTTGCTGGAGCCTTGCTGGAGCCTTGCTGGAGCCTTGCTGGAGCCTTGCTGGAGCCTTGCTGGAGCCTTGCTGGAGCCTTGCTGGAGCCTTGCTGGAGCGGCCCGCTGCGGATTGCAGACATGTTTGCCTCGTAAATCAATCAACGAGCCGCCGGATGGGAGGGGGAGGGGAGGGGTCACCGCGTTTTCATTTTTTTACCCGCGAGATGTACAGCTAATTGCTTCCCTGCTGCTCCTTGCCTCGCCGAGGATCAGACTGTTCATAACCAGTCTGTCAGAGTTCGGTCAGATTGCCTCCGTCTTTTTTTTCGGTTCAAATAAAAATTGTGGTTTACGACTCTAGCTCGACTTGAACGGCTTTTTGTGACGCGTGTTTGTTGTAGCGTGATTATCAATTCCAGCGAGGCCGCGAGGCCGGCGCGGGGCTCAAACAAAAACAAATTCGTTGCTGCAGAGGCCGCCTCCACTTGGGCCCCTCCATCGGTCCCCTCTCCCTCTCTCTTTTTATACCCTCCATGTCCGCCCCGCCGCTGCGTGATCTCCCTCCCTCACGCACACACACACAAACACACACGCACACATTGGTACACTTTTTGGCAAGTTTGCAGAGCTGACATGCCTGGCTGGCTGGCTAGCCGCAGGCAGCGGCAGGCCACGCTGGACCGGCCTTGATTAGCGCGGCTCGCTCTTTTTGCCCTTTGGCCCCATCAATCTCACTGCCTGTTTTTCCGCGTGCCCTAGCGAGCCGCGCGAGCAGTGCGCACGCCGCGACCGCAATCGCATTTCGGCGAGCGTTGCACAGCGCTGCACAGCTATGCCGGGTGGTGGCTGCGGTCCGGGCGGGGGCCCCACTTTGGGGCCCCGCATTCGTCCTTTCCATGTTTGGTTCCATCTATTCGCAGAAAAGTAATGAAAACTTTGATCGAAAATGCGGCGTCCAGAGCATGAGCCCCGTCCCGTATGAACCGCGACGGCGGCTTTAGACCCGACCTTGGTGCCGGACCGAGTGTTACTCGCCCCAACCCGGATTAGGTTTGACCCCCCGACTCAGTTGGACTCGAGTCGGGGCTGGGCTCAGTCAGGTTGGACCTCAGAACATCGGGGGGCTCAAGCGGGGCGGGGCTCATGTCCTGCAAGACGAAAATGCAGGTGGCGGGCTTGCCATTGCGCGTGCAGCATGGTTCCTACTACTTACCCAAACTACAGGACTTGCCGCGTTGTAAAAGAGTCTGGACAGCTGAAGGGAAGGTAGCTACGGCGGGTTGGTGTTCAAAGTCGCTTTGCAGCCACGAAGTGCTCTTGAGCTCCTCGAAACGTGTTGCTTTCATCAGTTTGGCCGGTGGGCAAGCGAGAGAGGTGCATAAGCAAAGATGATAGGAAATTGGAAATGATAGTTTTAGCTTTGCTTTATTTCGGGCGTTGGAGTGGAGGCTTGAGTACGGATCACTAGTCGTGCACGCCAACTCAGTCGGCATGACACCTAACAAGCTAGACTTTTAAATGCTATAGCCGGTACAAAATACAAACAACAACAAAGACGCCGCGTCAGAGGCCTAACAACTTATCCTAGGGCCGTCTGATTTTTTTAAAAACTTAAGTGACATGGTAACGAAAACAAGTCTGCATGCCTCCCATATTTTTCTTTCTGATGAATTTTTTCAAAACAAAAAGAAATCGTATGACCGAGTACAGTAACTGGTGGCCGGCAAAACATGACTGAACCGGAGATGCTGGTAAATATTTCACAAAGCAGGGACCTCTTAACAAATCTACATCCGTTTAGTAAAATTACTTTTATGTCATGTTATTATTATAGGTAAAAACAAATATTTGGTCTCCTAAAATATAATGCAGCAAAAAGTAAAATACAGGATGTGCAGACGAGAGCAACAAAACACAAAATCAATTAGGGTGGACCGATAATCAACAAATCCTGCCGTTGAACCAATCTACCATCATTTTCAAGACTACAAAATAAAACATTGGTAATAATCGAGAAAATGTACAGGTCACAGTATCTTATAAGCTATACAATTACACCAGTAAACGAAACACTGAATAAATAATTATATTAAACCTTTGGCTTTCAGAAGTACACAAGACATGAGTAACAACACAGTTCCGTTCTTCACAAAAAAAATTATGTACAAAACACAGTAACAGGGAACTCCCCGTCATTGATCAAAATAACCTTTCGTTCTTTGTGATTCAACATTTTACACTACAAACAATTTATTGCACTTGGTTTTAAAGTCTCTCCCTTAAGACCCACTTACTAGACCCCCAATATGTCGCACTTGAAGAATTTCTGTGCATGGTATGATGGAAACAGACTTGATCCTTAATTACTTCTATAAATCGCTACTCAATTTGAAGTCTAACCGTCAAAAAATTTGTATTAATTTAATTAAATAAATAGTGACGGTTTCGGTAATGGTCTGTTTCCCACAAATCACGCACACGTTTCAGAGTAATCACCTAGAACGTACACCTATGCGACAAAATTCTCACTCCCTCTCTCACTCACATCCACACACATTCACATGCCCTCACATTCACACCCACATCCACACTTTGTGAGCTTAATCACATCAATGCAGATCTCTCACGTGTTTATAAATAAAGTAGTAATTCGCTCACGTTTTCAGCTCATGACTAGAATTAAAATTAAAATCACATGACTAAAGATATCACTAGGTACGAGGAATATTGCTTTTCCTATAACGAGTTTAGTACAAAATTTGTCACCGGTCCATCGAGGGGAAAAAGCACAATGAACGTTAAGGGAAATAATTGAGACCCAAGTCCACAACACTGGTTGAAACAAAGTCTCTTGGTTTGTCCCGAAGCAGGTTGGTTGATATGTAAGATTCGAACCCCTTTCTGCAGCGTCGCGAGCCTACCCTCTAAAGAGAACGTTAGTTTTTTCCCGTTGGCACAATTCATTCATACAGCACTCTCTGTGCAGGGCGTGGCACAAAAACAAAGTGAGTCTCAACTTTAATTACATTTTTTTTCTGGATGAGCAAGCTTTTCAAATTTACGAGGCAAGGCATCTTGTTTTTTAATTCATTCGGTTGAACAAAGTTCACACGGAAAGTTCGACAACACCTTAAAAATTGGCACTTGGGTTTCTCTCGGCACAACAGACCAGCCTAATGGCTTCTCCAGCATTGGCACGAGTAATATACAATTTTCATAAATGTCGCGAAAACGGTTTTGCACTTTTCAACCTGTTACGTACAACACGTGTGTGTATTATGCACAAAACGCTCGTTACATACATTTTTGAACTGCCATATTACGTACATTTGTGTGAGATAACGCGCGTAAGTAATACGTTCAAATGGGGGAAAATGTTTGTAACTTTTGCACATTTCAGGATTTGGCATGTGCTTACTACAGAATTTTTGACACGTGTGCACCCTCTTGTCGAGGTGCGTAAATTAAGGCAAATCTCAAAGCAATGTTATGTACCCACACTACACACACCGAATGTCCGTAACAGGTCCAGAGTGAGTCGAGGCAGCCGAAATAAAGTCGACGCGACGTGACCTCGTCGTTGACGTCGCGGCGGACCGCCTCTTGGCTCTTGGTTCCGTCTTCTCGATGTTTGGCGTGGCGTGGCGCTCTCACAGAGCCGGGGGCAGGTCAAGAGCATGTGGCGGGACCGGACTCCCAGGCGCTGGCAGCCGGCGGCTGAGAAGCCACAGATCGGCGGACCATCGCCAGCCCTGGCTGGGTGCCTTCAGGGTCCCGCATCCAGCGGCAAGTCGCATAGTCCGACCGGCAGAGCGGCCGGAGCGCAAATATGGTAAACTGGAACTAGCGGGGTGGGTTCGATGTTCGAGGTTCGAGGGGACGGTGGCGTTAAGCGGTGGTGGGGTAGCGGCTGCTGGGCGGCAGCGCCTTGCGTCAAGGTCTCCGTGGTGGATGTCTTTGCAACGGCATGAACGCGTGGACGCGCGGGGAGGGGGCTGGGACGCACTTCGTGGCCAACGCGCCGAGTGCCTTGTGCCAGCCAGGCTGCCGGCAGCGCCCTGCGGACGGGCCGGGCCGGGCCGCACCGAGTGCTGCACCGAGTGCTGGCCAACGGGCCGGACTAGAACGGAAGGAGCGACTCGACACTCGTCTCTCTCAGCTATGTGGGCGCGCGACGCGAGGGGCGGGGAGGGGAGGGGCAGGGGGTCACTGCACGGTCACTGCATGCAGTGCCCGGGGGGCATGGGCGTGGGGGCTCCCCCGCCCGGCCCCCCGGCCCCCTGTCAGTGTTGCGCGGCGAACTTCATGCGCTTCTGCTTCTGCCGCTGGTTGCAGAACCAGACACGGACCACATTCTTTTTGAGGTCCAGCTTCTCGGCGATGGCCGCGATCTTCTCCCCGGACGGCCTGGGCTGCACGTTAAAGTACGCCTCCAGCGACCGCTTTTCCGGGGCCGCGATCGAGGTTCGCTTGCGCTTCTTCTCTCCGGCCGGCAGCACGCTGGGCGCGTCCGGGTCCTGACGCTTGCTCCTGGCCTGCGCCTCCGCCTCCTCCAGCCACGCCTGCAGGATGGGCTTCAGGGCGATCATGTTGTTGTGCGACAGCGTGAGCGACTCGAACCGGCAGATGGTGGACTGCGACAGCGCGCCCACGCCGGGCAGCTTGAGGGCGGCGAGCGCCTTGCCCACGTCGGCCTGCGTCACGCCCAGCTTGATGCGGCGCTGCTTGAAGCGCTCCGCGAACGCCTCCAGCTCACGCGGGTCCGTGTCCGAGTCCGGGTGCAGCCCCGCCGCCGCGGCCGCCGCGGCCGCCATGGCCGGGTGGTGCGCCGACGGGTGCGGGTGGTGGTGCGGGTGGTGCGGGTGGTGGGGCGCGTGCCCCGTCAGCGGGCCGCCGTGGTGGTGGTGATGGTGGTGGCCGCCCATCATCGAGTTCATGGGGTTGTACATGGGCGGCGGGTGCAGCTGGTGGTGCGAGTTGTCCGAGATGGGCGTCAGCGTCGTCATCCCGCCCGCCTCCAGCATGTCCAGGCCGCGGTCCAGGCCGCGGTCCAGGCCGTCCATGCCGTGCGGCCCCATCTGCAACAGAGACACCGTCAGCCACTCTCGACGTTAAGGTCTACCGACGCGCCGGGAGGGTAGGCACCGCGACGACGCGCGTGCATGGCGTTGCCTACCCGCACGGCGCTCCGACTCCACAGGACTGAATCCAACAAGAAAACGCTCTGTAATTTGTCTGCGTTTATCCTATTCCACCATTCACCGGTCTGACATGTCATTGGAACGTCAAGCGCCCCTTGGCGTGCCCCCGCCTTCCCCTCCTCCCCCCCTCACACCCGGAAGTGGTGGCGCGTAATTCGTCCAAGACGCGGCGGGCGCGGCGCAGCACGGCGCAGCGCAAACCGACCGGAGAGATAAGGCACTCGAGCAAATTGTCGAATGGCGTTGTTGTCAAGCAGCACTCGGCGCGTGGCGGCCCGGCGGCCGCGTGGCGTGCGCGTGCGCCCACTACACGGCACGCGCCGGCTGGCCGCCCCGCCCCGCCACGCCACGCGACGCAACGCGCAGCACGCAGCGCGGCTCGCGTGGCGCCGCCCAGCGCGTCAATGGGATTGAGTCCTCAGGATGGGATTGCCGCCGCGGCTAGCTACTCTCCCGAAATGGAAATGCCGGGTCGGCGATACCCCAGGCGATGCCGAACGCTCTGTCTCTCTCGCACTTGGAGGGGTGCTATTGGCGTTTTCGGGATCAGCTCTTCGGCCGGCGATCCACACCGTTTACGGGGAGGACAGGACAGGGAGCCCAGCCGGCGCGCGCAAATCATCGTTTGGGTTCAAATTAAACCGGAGCAGGGGCTGCACCTCGACCCGCCCCGGCCCGGCTCGCGCCCGGCGCCACCGGCCGTATTTCACAGTGGCGGCCCCGGACCCGGCCCGCCCCGGAGCACTACGTCACTGCGCCGCTGGCCGGCCGGGAGGACGTCGGCCGCCCTCGGCCGCCCTCGGCCGCCGTCGGTGCAGTGTAATCGCGTCAGGCCGTGTCAGTGCTGCTCAAGGCGGTCCAGGCCCTCTCGGTGGACTGCCCGGCCCGCACTCTGCATGTGGACGGAATCGGATGGAATCGCCGTCAATCCGTTTCCGTGTTTGCAAGAAAGCAGCTGAGCTGCAGCATGCGTCAAGCCTCGCGGCCCTCGCGGCCTCCAGGGAGTCGGCCACCGCGTCCACGACGCGCACCTCACCTCGCCTCGCCGTGCCGCCAGTCATAGTGATTCGAGGACCCCATTGACGATGATGCAAGGTGCTCCCCTCTCCGGCCCTCCAATCAGCAGAGAGGCCGTAGCCATGATGCGCCTCCCCGCCCCGCCGCGCCCCGCCAGAGGGCCATGACGTGGCAGAATTCAGATTTTGTGGCGCTGCTTTGCGGTTATGGCGGGCGTGGCGGGGCGCCGCGCGGCGAGGCTTAAACGGCGGGGAGGCGGTCTCGCGGAGTGCTCCACCGCCGACACGGCCTGGCCGCGAGCAGCAGCGGGGGGCGACGCGAAGAACAGACGGCGGCGGCGGGGAGCCTCCGATTGCCGGCCAGGCCATGCCGAGGCGCAACAGTGGACACGGGAATTCAACTACCCGGCCAGCGCGGCGCAGTCGGCTCATTCCAAACTTCCTCCCCGCTCTGTCTCTCTCGCTCCCTTAGGGTACTCCCCGCGAGAGGGAGAGAGACAGAGCGACGAAAGCAGCCTCCGGAATCAGCCGGCAGCCCGGTCGTCCCGCAAGCCGCGGCGGTAAAAGCTAACAAATGGAGGCCATAAACCGGGGAGGCGGGGCGGAGAGGCAACCCGTTCGTCGCGCAGAATAAACAGATACACACCCCGCGCGGAGCACGGCGCAGCACGGCGCAGCACGGCGCGGAGAGGGAGTGAAAACTGTTGGCGGAATGACCCCCGCGGTGGCGACGACGCCGCACACCACACTGCGCGGCACGGCACGGCACGCCCGCACAGCAATGTGTCCTCCACGGTGTCGCACAAGGCTCGCACAAGCGTGTCGAACCGTGCCATCGGCGAACATAACCCGTCCTCTCTAGTGCACCCCCGCGCCCGCCGTGCCCCAGGGACACGCCGGGGCAGGCCGGGGCGGCAAGGGCGGCAGGGGCGGGCCGACGGCCTCATCGGAAAGGAAGGGGTGAAGGGACGTCGGGCAAGACGCACTTCTCGGCCGGGCCGGCGCCAAATGCGCACCGGGACCGCGGCGCCGTGACGGCCTGCTGTAAAGCCGAAGGGGCTGCTTTGAGGTGCGGCCGGCCGAAGGGTGCACTCCGCACTCCGGCCGGCGAGACAATGAACTGCGAGTAGGCGGAGAGAGCACCGATCAACAACAACCACAACAACAACAACGACAAGAACAAAGCACGCCATTCGCCCTGCTTTCCCCCAGCACCGGACTCGTATTGACTCCGCCGGACTCCGGCTCGTTGCATACCGTCCCCGGAACGAAGGAAAGAAAGAAAGAAAAGACAGAAGGGGCTCAACACACCAGCCCATCTGAATAATTGACAAAATGCAATCGATGGCGGTGAAGGAGACACCGCGGTGCCGATGCACTGCTGCGTACAGTGTGGGCGCGGCTCGGACTTTCCGATACAATGCCATTTGTCCCCTGCAGGACACTGCAGGAGCGCCGGGACGGCCGGGACAGCGTACGTGCGCGGTGCGGCGCGGCCGGCCGGGTGCGGCGTGCGGCCGGGGAGCGCGCCACGCCATGCCGCGCCACGCCGCGGGGGTTGCAGAGGCGATGCTCCCATCGGAAGAATATTTCATCATTACTGCCTGCGCTGCCGTGCCGCCGCCGTGGCCGTCGTGTAGTGGGGGTGCTGGAAGCACGCTGGAAGTCATGCCATCGCCGGGCCGGGCCGGGCCGCCTGGAGGGCCACCCTGCTCGCCTTCCCTCGCCCTTCCATCGGTATCGCTGTAAAGTGGTCATTTGAAGAAGGGCTGCAGAACAATTTACTGCCTCCACCGCAGGATGGCGCGCTGCGGGCGGCGTCGTGGTTTGTGAGCCTTCCCCCTCGTGTGGCTTCCACCTTCGCGTCGCGCGGCCTCGCTCGTGCAGGTACACTTACACACACCGACACACACACGCACACTCTCACAAGGACGCGAGAGAGCGCGCGCTGCGGTCTGACATATCATGTGAAAGGAGCTGCTAGTGCCGCTCGCTTTGATGTGGATCGAGTCGTTTCCGCTTTTCTCGTTTCGCAGTGGCGCAGTGGCGGTGCTGGTGGCGCTGGCGGTGCCGTAGTGGCGGGCCAAATCGAGCGGGCTGCAGCAGCGGGGCCTTCGAGGGCGGTAGAGAAATGGTCGTATCCGCCGCGCGCCGCCGCCGTGCCGCCGTGCCGCCGCCCATGTGTTCAGGTGGCAAGCCCCGCTCCGCTCCCCCACGCGCGCCGGGCAATGCCAGAGCACTGCTAGAGCCACCCTCCCCCTGCTCCGGGATGGGCTGGCTGGGGATGGGGCCGGGGCTGCCTGGGGCTGCCTGGGGCTGCCTGGGGCTGCCGGCCGGGGCATGGCCTTCCCGCCTCCTGGGGAATCTGTCCATGTAATGAGGCAATTGACAGCCCGGCCGGTCGGGCCGCCGCGCCGCGCCACGGCCCACACCAGCTGTTGACGCCGTGCTGCGCAGCGCTGCGCCGCGCCCACCCCCGGGCCGCCAGCCCCGCCAGCCCCGCCAGCCCCGCCACGCGCGTCCCCGCGCTGCTCGGGCGCCCCCTGAGGGGCCCACCAGGCCCGGCGGCAGGATGGGATGGGATAGGTGGGATGGAACGAGCAGCGAGCGGAGGATAGTATAGAAAGGATGGGGGCGGCGAGGTGGATGAGGATGAGATCGGGAAGGGGAGGGGACGGTCGAAACACACACGAAAACACAGGCCCACCACAGTGGGCCAGAAGACCGGTGGAGGCGGCCAAAATTCTAGGTGTTTTGAGCTCCAAAGTCGCTAAATGGGACTCGAACCAAACGTGCGACCGCACCAACGGATTTCTATTCGAACGAGGAATCCATTGGTGGGGTCACACGTTTGGTTCGAGTCCCATTTAACGACCCTGGAGCTCAAAACGCGTCTAGAGTTTTTGCCGCCTCCACCGGTCTTCTGGCCCACTGTGCGCACGCACGCAGCCACCTAGGCTCCTTCATTGTTGGAAATAACCAACCCCGCATGCCGCAATCGATGCGGCGCGCCGTACCGGTCGTGGCAGTGTGCTGGAAGCCAGAAGCAGCTAGCAGTGCACCACCGCGGCGCCGAGCGTTGGTCGCCGCCGTGACGTCATCTCGCTCCACCGCCCTCCGCTCCGCGCCTACACTACAAGCAGTCGCCTCCCCGCAGGACTCGCCGTGTGAACGCGCGGCGCGCACCGCGTGGGTCCTCCTTCATTTATTTGGAATGGACAGGCAGGACCTGTTGGACGGACGTCCCCCCACCCCCACCCCCTCTACCCCCAGCCGTGCCTCCGAGCCTCCCCGGCGCACTACTGCATGGCCTCGGCGAGGCGCGGCGCGGAGCTGAAATATGATAGGCCTGAGAAACGGCGGCGCCAGCGACGCTCTCGCGAGCCGGTGCAGTCGTGTTCGTCGCTCTGTCTCTCTCGCACCCATACGGGACGCCCCATGAGTGCGAGAGAGACAGAGCGACGAAAACGACTCTCGGAACCAGTCCGGCCGCAGCCCGCCGCACTTGCACTGCCGCGGTCCGCCGGGAGCACCGCGCGGCACAATGGCAATGGGATTGAAATCGGCGGCTAAAAGCCGTCACACTGTCACGCGGAACGAGCAATCGGAAAATGGGAGATGGATTAGAATTATCGCCGGTCGTGAAGAAAAATCAACCGGGAAAAGGCCACGCGAAAACGGTAAAACAAAATTTCGCCAGTGGCTGTGCAGGACACGGGTAAAATTGAATACGAGCACTTTCCTTCAATCGCGTGCAGACTCTTCCGCTCTGTCTTGAAGCATTCAGGAGAACAGTTTGATTGCATAGCGGAATTTCCTCGGTGCGCTTCAAGAAGAACAACAGTATGGTCTCCGAGGGTAGGGTAAGCGTAAAGTAGTTCTATAGTGGAGGTGCCGCTTGCCTCACGATTGTCTCGTACAACGGAGCGTTCGCCAGGGCCGTGGCTCCCACGAAGGCCTACAAGGCCCTTCTTCCCTCAGTCTGCCCCGGCCTCGGCCACCACGGCCCCCTAGAGAGGCCCCGGCCGCCATCCAGTGCCTCCGACAGCCTCCGCGTGCTCCGCGGGGACCAGCCGGCCCATTCCGAAACGGCGGTGTCGTCGCGTCGCGCCGTCTCTCTCGCACTCATGGGGCGCCCCGTTTGGGTGCGAGAGAGACGGAGCACGCCTCGCGCTCCACCCCGGTCGCGCCACCGGCGTCGCCACGCGCGCGCCAAATAAAAACGCGATTGGCCGTGCAATAATATTTTCCTCGCGACGCGCCGCAAGCGCGCTGCACTGTAAGCGCGATCCGAACAATCAAACGTATGCGGCACCCCTGCCCACACCGCGCCGCGCCGCCACCCTCCAGACTGTCATTTGTTATGTGTCCTCATCATCAGAATGCAAACGTCATGATAGAAACAAGGGGCGGTGGCGACGGGGAGGGGGGAGGGGAAGGGGACGGGAGGGGGAGGGGGAGGCGGCGAGGACCGCGCCCTGCACCCCTTGGCGTCCGCGGCGTCGCACCCACAATCACACGACACACGAGAGAAACACAATTATTGTGATTAACAATTACGTCTGGCTGTGCTGTGCGGGCCGTGCGCGGCGTCCGGCTCACGGCACTGGGGGCAGTGGAGGCACTGCAAGTCGCGTTCCAATTACCGCGCGGGGCGGCGGGCTTAGCCCGGATTAAACAATTACCCCTTCGCGAGACCGCGGCGGCGCGGCGGGGCGGCGTGTCCTCGCGGCCGCCGCCAAGTGGCACACTAACACACTGGACTCTGTGGAAGAGAGTTCTCGTGGCTCAGTCGGTAACGATATTATCTTACCGGTCGCCTCTATTCGTGGCACAAGGTTCAAAACTTGGGGCCAGGCCGACATTTCTTTTCCTAATTGAGGTGCGTTACGGTCCAGTCCGCACGCAGCACGCCGAAAGCGGTCGTGAGGGGGTGGTCCAGTGCGGTGGAAGGCAGGGCCGCCTGGAATGCTGCCTGGAAGTCAAGTGCTCCTGCCGCCCCAGCGCTGCGGCCGGCCGTGCAGCCACTCACACGCGGACAGGCGGGCAGCCAGGCGGGCAGCCAGGCGGCACTACGGCGGTCTGACACGAGAGTCGCGAGCGAAGTCCTGCCGCTCGTACTGGTCGTAGTGCGGCGTGTCGCCGGCGGCTCGGCCGTCGTAAAACATGCCGCGGTATTGCCGCGTGCTGCGCTAGGTGCTGCCGTCCGCTGCGGGGCAGGCGGGGCTGCGGGGACGCCGTCATGGACGCCGTCATGGACGCCGTCGACGTCGACCTCCACCGGGCGGGTGGATTATGCGGCTTACCTGGTGCGTCCTCGCGTTGTGGGGCGGCATGGCGTGGTGGTACATCATGTCGTGCTTGATCTGCGTGCCGCCCTGGTGCTTGCCGATGTCCAGGGCCTCCGCCCGCGACAGCAGCCCGTCGTTCAGCCCGGAGAACAAGTCCCCCTGTAACAAGGTCACGCACGCGTTAGGCTTGGGAGAAAATCAGCGCTTGAGAAAAAGCTGTGCGGGAAGAACGTGTCCAAAAATGTGAACATCCAACAAACATTAAAAAGTCCAAATGGCAACATATTCCCGCCGCACTGACCCTCGAGCTGCTAGAGGCCAGAGGAGGTCAGGGGGTGTATGGCATGCCCCGTCAACCATCATGACGAAGCAAAACCAACATCGCTACCGTTACACAAGCCGCCCGAACTCTCAATTCTCACGTTTGTCTTCCCCGTCATTTTCCGAGTGCATTGCGCGCGCGGCTTGCAGGCATTGGTACACTGTTCGATGAGCACTATCATCACTCTTCATTACGATTGGCCACTCAATGAAAACGCAACGTTTGACTCCATCGAAAACAAAACACAGCGGGCCCTGTCCCGGCCGGCCCGGTCCGCCGCGCCTAGCCGTCGTTGCCCCGCGCGCTGCTCGCACAAATCTCGCTAGTTGGCCGTTTGGCCGTTGGCAGCGACAAACGAGGGTATTAGCCCGGCGGGGCGAGGCCGCATAGTGGCTCGCAGTGGCGCGCCGGGCCTGACGCAATAACAGGCAAACAGTCCCGGCGCGGCGGGGCGCGGCCGGCGGGGCTCTAGGCAGGCCCAGCCGTTATGCGGCGCGAGCTGTAGCGCCGTGCTAATGAGTGCCATTTCATTCGCGGCAATCCGGACTTGTTGCGTTTATGGCGGCACAGCGGCGAAGCGGCATAGCCAAAGTCGCGACGCCGTCGGGGCGGGCAGGGCGGCAGGGCCGCACCTGATAAATCATCATGATTACAGGTGTTGCCGGCAATGAGATTAGCCCGGCCCGGCCCCGCTGAGGGGGAGGGGGAAGTGGAGGGGGAGCGTCGCTGCTTGGCCGCGCCGCCACGCCGCGCAGGTGGCTGGAGGCCTAATGGCCGATTAACTTGTTGTCGAGGAGGCGCTTCTTGCCCTGCTCGCCGCCACCATGCCACCATGCCGCCACGGCGGTGCGCTGCAGTGTGGCGGGGCGTCGCCTCCTTACCCGCCACGGCGGCGTCCTCTTCGCCCCACCTTGCCCGCGGCGCCATACCGGAAGCAAGCACCCTGTCCCTCTCGCTCTCACGGGGCGTCGCGTAGGGGTGCGAGAGAGACAGAGCGAGGAGAGCCCCATCGCGTGAGGAGCAAGGAAGGAGCGGCTGAGCTCACCGCGATCAAGCCTGACTTCATACACAATGCCTTGCCGAGCGGTGACGTCCATGAGCCGCGGTGGCTGCGAGCGTTGGGGCGTTGGTCTCCCAATCGGGTAGACCGGGGTTCGATGCCTGCTGGGTCCACAGTTTTCGGACCACATTCCGACTTCTCAATTTTGCGTCGACGGGCGCTTCCCTCGCGGCGATGACTCCCTTCACTGCCCTTCACTCCGTGAGGTATATATACAAACTCTCGGCGGTCGGGCGCATCGTCCGACGGGAAGGGTGGCGTATGACTCCGTCGTACCAGCAGTGGCGGTCCTTCATGTGTGGAAGGCTATAGCAGTCCTACAGAAGCTGAACTCTGCGGTAGCAGTATAAAGCCTGGATGCACCGGTTCCCATCCGAACACCGAAGTTCAGCACACGGCTCGAACCCCATTTGGGGGTAGAGGGTCGTAGGGTTCAAATTGTTTATGTTTTATTTTAAACGAAATTTTATATGGCTCTGTCGTGGATAACATGTTTTGTCGAGTGTTAAGGGGGCTGGGGGCTGAGGCGGTGGTAAGGTCGGACAAAAAGAGGTCGTACAAATGATGTTACTCCGTGGGAAAAATTTAAAGTCGTTCGTCATAGTTTCTGATGACGAAGCGAACATTCTGACATCTCATGAGTGCAAACATCGTCCTGTCGTCGCTTTATTCAGCACGCACTGTTTCTTTTGCAGTGTCCCGCAGTCCACCCCGCGCTGCTCCGCGCTGCTCCCCTCCGGCCGTGTCCAGTGCTGTGTCCAGTGCTGTGTCCAGTGGCGCTGGAGTCGGCTGGGGGCGCGGGGCGGCCAGGGGCGGCGCATGGAGGCCGGTCACGCGAGGGCGGCAGGTAGGGGGGAGGGGTGTGGACGTCACCGTTCATTTCCGGTCAGGATGCCGCCCGCTTCCGGGACGCTGAAAGGCCAGTTCCGGCTCCGGGGCGCCGGCGGCCCGGAGGCGCCGTGTCTCCGGCAGAGGAGGAGGGCCTTCTGGACCGCGGCGCGGCGCGGCGCGGTGGAGTGCGTGCGGGGCGCGTATTACACTGAAGGCGCGTGTCCACCGGACGACCGGCCACGAGGCTAAATCGCATTACTCGGCAAACTGGCAAAGGGCGCAGGGAGGGCGCGCTGCTAAATGACCAGCGACACCGGCGGTGTGGTGTTGGTCTTGACTCGGAGATGTTGAGGGGGGTCCACCGTTAAAACTAAGGTGCAACAGACTTTTGATTATAACGAATATCACTGATTATGGGAGATTATTTTCACGTCGGTACGCGTGAAAATTTCGCAGTCTTAGGCTATGCAATCCGCATGTGCGCAGCGAGGTGGTATTTCGCCTTGCCCATTCGTTTCTGAGCCGCGTATTTCCGCGGACTAAGAGCCCCCTGACAGTGTGCCCGTCAGAACGCATCAACCTCACCGTGCGAGGATCATGCTTACAGCCGCGTGCTGAAAGTCCGGCCTTGAATTTTGAACCTCGAACCGTCGCCATTCGGGAGGAAGCAGCAGCAGCCGCTTGGCGGTGCACCTGATTCTGTGTGCGGGTATGCGTGTGTGTGCGTGTGTGCGCAGCCAGGCTGCCCCCGCAGTGGCGCAGTGCCGCCCGGCAGGCCGCCCCGCAGGCCCTCTCGTCGAACAAGCGCTACTCAGGCAGCAGGTGGGAGTGGGTGGGGCGGCCAGCACGGCCAGCGCGGCACGGCGCGGCTTGCGTGCGCTCAAGTGGCGCGTAACGCTGCCGACACGCCGAGCGCTCCACCGCCCCCACCCAGGCCGTGGCGCTGGTGGCGCCCGCCGGCCCGCCGCGCCGCCGCGCAGTGTAGCGGCGTAGCTGGGCGTAGCTGGGCGTAGAGCCCTAGCGTAGCGCAGCGCCCCCACCCGGGCCTCGCGAACCAGGACCACCCCGGGGCCACCGGGGCCGCCAGGGCGCACCGGGGCGGCGGCCCGGGCCCCCGCCGGGGCCGCACTGGACCAGCATCCAGTACAGTGGCGGCGGCGCGCGGCGGCGGCAAGTGCGCCTCGCCACGGCACGCCCGTCAAGGGAGACTCCCCATGCTGCGCCGTGGCCGCGCCACCGGCAACGCCTCTCCCTCTGTCAATCAATCACTTCGGTTCGAAATAAATCGAAAATCGAACCGGAATAATGCCTGAAACGGTGTAGGACGCGTTATCGGTGGGCACCCCCTTACGCAAACGGACACGCCGAGCCGACGCTCCCAAGCCGTGTTTTGACGGACTCCTTTTTGTCATTTTATTTCCGCATGGGCCAACGCTCTTTTCTTCCCTCACAAACGGCGCGCACACACAGGTGCACTCACACACACTCACACACATACACACACTCACGCAGGACGCACAACATGTATCTATTGACCGCATACTGCACCCCACCCCACGCGACATGTCCACCTGCCATGCGGTTTTATTGGAAGCCCTGCCCGCCCCGCCCCGCCCCGCCCCGCCCCGCCCCGCCCCGCCCCGCCCGCCCTGCCCCGCCACGCTGCGCCACGCCGCACCGCACCACGCCCCCGCGTGTCATTGCGTACGTCAAGTACGTCGCGCACTCCCTCGGTGGAAAATGATGGAGGGATTCGGGAAAATAAAGCGAGCAGCTTGGTCGGGAATCGAACCCAGGGCCCTGGGCCTACCTCAAGCCCGCGCGTGGCCGTGGCCCCGATTCGGCGGCGGGAGTGAGTGCAGCAGCGACTGGCGAGACGCAGCCGTCGTGCGCGAGGGAGAGGGACGCGAGACGAGAGGGTGACGAGACGGGACGGGATCACTGCCACTTTCGGCGGGAGGAAAAAAAAAGGGATGAAACAAGAAGAAGAAGGGTTGCGATGTCTTGGGCGTCGCGTCGTCGTCGCGGCCCTCACCCTCACTTCTTGCCTTGAGTCATTTCTTTACAGTGTATTCCCACGAGTGTGCCTCACAGTGTGCCTCACAGTGTGCCTCACAGTGTGCCTCACAGTGTGCCACACAGTGTGCCTCACAGTGTGCCACACAGTGTGCCTCACAGTGTGCCTCACACCCTCCCCGGCGGCGGACGCGGCCCGCGTGTGTTTGTATTGGGAAAAGATGGAGTGGGTACCGAGGGAGGGTCAGGGAAGAAAAGTGACTGCCGGGCCGGGCCGGCCGGCCGATCGGGGAGGGAGAGGGGCGCCGGCGGCCAGCCGAGCCGGCAGGTTCTTTATGGGCCTTCCACCCTCATTTGTACGTATATTGGGTCAGCGGCGCAGCGCGCAGCCTCGGCGCGGCGGCCCTCCAGTCCCGTAACGCACCTCGAGGCACGCCGTCGTGGGGCCGACGGCGTCGCCGGTCGGCCGGGCCCCGGTGGCAATTTCCAGTAGCGGTCAGCCGGAAACCGCAGGACAGTCGTCGGCCACCTCGAGCGTGGGGTGCGCGGGGTGCACGCGGGGTGCGCGGGGTGGACCTGACGCGCCCATTGTCCGCCGCGAGCACAGGTGGGGAGGGTGCAAGGTTGTGTGATTGATAAAAGCAGGTTGCCCGGAAGTGCGTGCGGGGAGAGGGCGGCGCGGCGCGCGGCGGCCGGCGGACAAGTGCACGACGCCGCTGGACATGCAGGGGTGGCGATGCGTCGGTGGCGTGCCGTACTCGCCGAGGACTTGTGGCGACACAGATGGCCGGCCGGCTGTCTGGCGGAAACGCGCGGAAACGACTTGAAAACGTTACGTACACCGCCAACGTTTTCCGCCGCTCTGCGACGCGATTCGGCGCCACGCACTTGTTGGAGGCGCTGGCGTCCTGCGGCAGGACTCCTGCCGTCGCGCTGGCCTTGCTGCCTCGGCAGCGCGACGCTCGGCACGTCAGCGACGCAGTCACCGCCACCACGCCGGCACCAACCGGCCCATCAGTCTTCGTCCGTTCACTCGTCCTGACGGTTTGGGCGCCGCGGAGGGGGGAGGGGAGGGGGCACAGGTGACGACATGGGGGAGGCAGTCATGCGTGCAGCACATCACATGTGTACTTGAGTCCGGCACCCACCACACCTACCTGCCGCGTGCGGCCTCCCCCCTCCCCTTCCGCGCCACTGTAATGGCAAAGCCCGGCGAGGACTCTTGACACGTTCCCCGCGATGTGACGGCACTGACGGCCCCGTCGGCAAGTTCATTACGGGGCGGTATATTTTCGTGATCCAGTGTAGTGTGTGTTCTACCCCGGGCGGGGCCGCGCGAGCAGCAGGCCATGGCGGGGCGCGGGGCCTAGCGGGGCCCCTCCGCCGTCTGCAGAGGTCCTTCAGCCCGCTCCGCTTCAGCCCCATTCACCGCACAACGCGGCAAGGCCGTGCAGCGCGCCCCGGCGGCGTTCCGCGCGTTTCGGCGAGGCCGACGAAGGGCGGCGGGGCGGGCGAGCGGACAGGAGAGGAGGAGAGCGAACAGGCGGACGGACATGGAGTGGAGCAACAGACGGACAGGCAGGCGGGAACCTGAAGCGGACCGACATGAACCGGCGGACAGCGAGACAGACAGACGAGGACATGAACCGGCGGACGGACATGGAGTGTAGAAACAGAAGGACAGGCAGGCGGGAACCTGAAGCGGACCGACATGAACCGGCGGACAGCGAGACAGACAGACGAGGACATGAACCGGCGGACAGCGAGACAGACAGACGAGGACATGGACAGGCGGACGGACGCGGCAAACGAGTGCTCTGGGAGAGACAAAGGGGGGTGGGAGAGCTTGGCGCACAGCGCGCAGCGCACAGCGAGGTGCTGCTGCAGCAGCCGGCAGCAGCCCGTGCAGTCCGTCGTTGACTTAGGGAGCCGGAAGGCAGTCAATAATTTATGAGACCGTGTGTCGAGACTTTGGCAAGTCGGGGGTAGTTATGCCAAGTAAAACACGGGGCAGGAGTTATTCGGCCGACACCGGGCAACAAGCACTGAGCTGAGGCGGGGCGGGGCGGCTGATGCCACTATGTGCACGATCACTCGGTGCAGGGAGACGGGACGGGCGGGCTTGTGACGGAGAGTCGGCGTGAACCGCAGGGAATTTCCGCATGTCGGTTAGCGCGGGCTAGCCGCGCTAGTGTGATGGTAGGGCCGGGTCGCTGCTGCTGCCGCTGCTCCGCCCGTTGGCGTAAAATTGAACACTACAGCAAACGGCGTCCCCCGGGAGCCGCGCGCCACGCCACACCGCGCCGCCGCGCCACCAAGTCAAAACAACAGAACAGTTTCATCGCGGCATGAGCATAATCACCAACGCCCCACCAGCGCCGCCGCCCCACCGTCGGGGCCCCGGCCTCGGCCCCGGCCCCGGCGCGGGCTGCGCAGGCAGGGCTTTCTCGTGTGTCGGGAGGAAGGGTTGCGACTTCCATGCATTCTAAATGCGAGCATTTTGGTTTAATTATGTTTCTAAATGATATTCCCCTCCTGGGGCACATGCCGTGGGGCTGCGCCGAGCTGCGCCGGGCTGCGCCGGGCTGCGCCTGATGCTGGGAGGCGCCGCGGCGGGGCGGGGCGGCGGCGAGGTGTCTGCAGAACGCCACCCACCACCCCGCCCGCCCCACCCACCGCCACCCCCACCACGCCGCCAGACGCCGCGAGCTAATGCTGGCGGGGCCTTTAGGACCTGGGCGTGGCGATGACTGATCGGCACACTGTCTCTCTCGCACTTGAGGCCTCCCTTACAGGTGCGAGAGAGACAGAGCGACGAAAGCGACTCTCGGAATGAGTCTGCAGGGCGGCGCGGGCTGGACAAGAAGGAGGCCTTGATCGAGGCCGGCGGGGAGGCCTAGCGGCCAGGGGGCCGCCGAGTCCGGCCGGCCGAAAGGTGGTCCGCGATGCCAACATAAACCGGCCCTTATGGAGAGGGAAGGGGTGGGGTGGAGCTTTAAAACCGCCCCCATACATAATAGATGGCTCGTAAGCAGCGCATCAGTGGTAACCGAGTGAAGCACGGGAAGAGGGCGTGCGGGGCGGGGCGGGGCGGGGCGGAGTGCCGCACCGCCAGCCAGGCTGCTGCCTCGCCGCTGCGCCGCGTTCACAGACGTCCTCCGGGGCCGTCCTTAAGTCCTCAAACTCGGCCGGGTCCGCCTGCTTGCCGGCAGCCATCGGCTGCTTTGTAAAATCGTCACGCGGCAGAAACGAAGGAAGAGTGCGCGGAGACTGCCTAGACGCCAAGGCCCCCTCCCTAAGTGCTGCAGTAAATTATTTATGAACTTTTTTAATTTTTTGGAGAGATCTGTTGTCGAGACTGCGCCCCCAACGAACAAAACGTGCAAAAGTTGTGTTTTGAGCGGTAATTCATATTAATTATACGTTACTTACATTATGCCTCGGCGACCACGAGTTGCACATTATTGATGCATCCTCTAAAATCCGACTCTGGAAGCAAACAAAACAAAAGGGGGGTGAGTATCAAAGTTGAATGTAATCCGGTGCTTCCTGTAACGGAGATGCCAAAACCAATTTGAAAAAAAAAAACGTCTCAGAGATGTCATATTTTTTAAAAGTCGTCAAGTTGTGTCTGCAATCCAATTCAAATATCGTCGTCTTTTGGAGAGAGGAAATGGGCAACCCGAGGAACTGCCACCCCTTTGCGAGACCGTCCGTCCGAAGGGCCTGCACCGAGTTCTAAAGACGTCAAAGTCGTCGTCGTGGATCAACTCCACTCGGTACTTTTACCCGGCACTGTGAGCGAGGGAGGCGCCGCTCGGCCCGGCGCGGCCGGCCCACTGGTGGCTCTCGGCTAGGCGCGAAACTGGCTCATTTGCATGTCACAGGCAGGCCGGGCAGGCCGGGCAGGCCGGGCGGGACTGCCGGACTAATGTACTGTGCCGACTGGGAGTCAAGCCCGTCAAGCCGTGGGCCCGTTAGGCCCGGCCGCTTGCCGCCGCTTGCCCACTGCGCGGCCCGGAACGGCACGGGGTTGGCAGCCGCTTCCACCCCTAACCGGGCATACCTACACTGTCAAAACACCAGTCACGCATCACATCGACATGTTGCCATATTTTCGCGTGTTCTCTCTGTCCTCCCCCACGTCCATGGCGTCCTCCGCGCCGTGTTTGTGACACTGTAAGCGCGCGGCCCGCCGAGTGGCCTGCCGAGTGGCGTGCCGAGTGGCGTGGCCGAGACGCCGGCCGCCTCGCATCGATACTCGCCTCAATAATGCAGCAAGTCACCGGACGCCAATGCCCGCACAGCCCGTCTACGCGTCATTTCCTCATGCTCAGTTCGAGCCAAGGACCTGTGAGTATGCAGCACCGGACTCAAGAGGTTGGCAGCAACTCGGTCAAATGCCCCAACTTTTTCCTCGTTTCGAGGGAAAGCGAGCCAGCGGGACGGCACCGCACCGGCCGCCGCGTTGCGTCCCCCCCTCCCTCGATGGCTGATGGCGCTTTAATTACCTAGGCTCGGGCATAGGCCGCACGGCACAACCACACAGACAAGTCTGTTTTTGTTTCGTCGTTTGCCTGTCTCAAGATTTGTTTTGTTTTTTGCTGTTTTCTTTGGTTTCGTTTACAATCAGGCATTTGTAAGTTTGTGACGTGCAGATTTTTTTTCTTTTTTTTCGAATGCGTATGCCCATGGTGGTGTTTTCCCTGATTCGAGTTGTGACTTCCCTACGGACATATCGTTGTTGGTGTAAGTTTCAAACTGTAACCAGCTCTGGACGAGGCTCTGAAATAATCTAATTATTTTGGAGAAAGGGGGAAAGAAAATGCTCCGGGAGACTAGCAAAAATAAAAACATGCAACGTCGTGAAACTTCACCCCTCTACCCCCTTCCTCCCCCCTCTCTCTTTCTCTCTCTTTCTCTTTCCACGGTTTGCCGCGCTGATTCGCCGCCACAGTTTTCCATCTCAACCTTTCCGCCCCCTTCCCCTCTCCACCTCCCCTTCCGCTCACCCGCGGTGAGGCCCCAGCCAGCCTAGGATGAGGCACCAGCAATACACGTTTAGATCGATCAGAGCGAGGAGGCTCCTGATTGGTCCGCGGTCCGTGGTGGGGGAGGGGGAGAGGGAGCGCCACAGCCCTGCTGGGAGGGAGGCGAACGGGATCGCCTCGTTTATGCCGCTTTGCTGCGCTTTGCCCGAATTCCTCCTGAGAGTGGCGACCCGGCCTGCCTGCCTCAGCCCTCATCTACTCTCTCTCTCTCTCTCTCTTCTCTCTCTCTCTCTCTCTCTCTCTCTCTCTCTCTCTCCTCTCTCCCTCTCTCTCTAACCCTCGTTTATTACCTTTTTTCCCGTTTCGTTTCAATTTTTTTCTCCCGCGAAAATGCTCTTCTGGCTGGGGCGCGCGGTTTATGTAATGTGACGCAATGCCTGGAAGTTTAAATGCGAGTCCATTTGTTGTTTAAGGTTCGGGGCCGGCCGTCGCCAGCAAGGCAGTCCCCGGCGGGCGTTTTACTCTGGTTCCGGATAAAGTGATACTGATTATGACGGCCAAAGTTGAACACCGAAGTGGATTAATAGCGTTTAAATCATGGCAAGATCGAGCCACTTCATTCAGGGCTTTTACGCGTTTTCTTTTCCAGGGACCATTTTGATCCCATTGCTGCACATCTCCCTCCTCACACGTCACTAAAGCAGCCGGAGCCGGCCGCTTGATCCGAGATATCTCATAACCTCGCCGCAAACCTCGCCGAGCGTGATTCCTCCAGCAGCCCTCCCTTCCTCTCCGGATTTCTGGCTGGCGCGTCACTTCGCATCAAACTCAAGACTTTGGCTGTTCCGCCCCGCCCCGCCCCGCCCCGCCCCGCCGGCAGAGAGGGCTGCATGCTCCATCCCGTTTGGGACGAACACACGCCACTGTTATGGCGGGGTCAAGGCACATCGTCACGGTCACCCATCTCGCGTACCCATCGCGGTTTGCGCGCCACATTCGCCTAAAAGGATAAAAGGCCTCGATAAAGCTAAGAAGCTGTCTGAGCAAAGCCCAGACATTCCCTCGTAAGCAGCGTCTCGTGTGCTGTCAGCCACTTTGGTTACTACCACCGCATCGTGGGGAATTTTTGCCCTCTTTCGTGGCAGCACTGGAGGCACCGGGACAGAGAGCGGACGACGGTCGCCGTCGCCAACCCGAGTTATGGACCGATGAAAAATTCACGCGACAAAGGAGGGGAATCGAACCCGCGCCCCGATTCCCGCCGTAATCGAACTTATCGGAAGAGATTCATTACACGAAGTGGGGGAGAAGTTGTATCGGCGATGGGCTTCCCCCCCCCCTCCCCCCTCCTCCACGTTCAAAGCAGCCGCAAATTGCGTTAGTGTCGGCTCCAGTCAATGCGGCGTCCTGCTGCCCGCGCTGCTGCCCAACAACAACAAACAACTAAATCACAAAAAGGGGCGAAATGATGATGCTAAGAAACATTTACCCACTTTCGTCTGGTGTGCTTTGTTCCATGCCTGGATGGTAATCATGCCAGTCTGTCAAAAGTGTGGCAGGTGAGAATAGAGAAAAATAGCATGTAAGTAACATGTGTTTGGTTTTGTAAAGATGTCACTACTTGTTGGACGGCGCGCGTGTTGCTGTTGTTCTGTGGTTTCGTATTTACCTGTGTGGTGGTGAAGGCCCAGGCTTGGCAGTCCAGTAGTGGCAGAGGCATACCCGGAGCCAGACACTGGCTGGGGAGGCCCCCACTGGGGACACTACTCCAGGGAGGGCTTCGCGCCGCGCCGTGCTGAGGAGAGTATAGCATGGCCTTGGTACAATCAGAGCAACAAGTTTGACGTGTCGGTGACTCGGTGGTGTGTGCCCGCCGCCGTGTGGTGACCCTCACCTGGTATAACCTAACCTGGCCTACGTGCTGAATATCACAAGAATAACAACGTGTGTCTGTCTTCATTTGTTTGTTTATTAAATGAGTGTACGTTTTTAGTTTGTCGTCCTGCCAAAAAGAGTGACTTTGCGGACTAACCTCTTACTTGCTAACGTGTAACTACTTGGCCTGTATTCCTCCAGGGACACTTACACCGTAAAATGCGTGCGGCATGACTGCCATCTGAAACGAGAAGAGAACAACGTTAACGGGAACGCTAACGTTTGCCACCCTTCGAGCCCAATGTCTTCGTTGGTTCATGTGGTGTGTTGACATTCTTGGTGCACGTGAGAGTACGAGAGCGGCGTCCTCGTGGTCGTCTGGCTGCCCTGGCCGGGCCGGTGCGGTCTGATCGCTGTGACAGGGTTACACGTCGTTGCCGGAGACCGTCGCTGGACAAACTGGATTTGCCGGAGCCTGCTCTGCGCCTGCAGGCCGATTCCGAGCGTCTCTCTCGCACCGCCGCACTCGCGGGGCCTACCGCGTGGGAGAGAGAGAGAGAGAGAGAGAGAGAGAGAGAGAGAGAGAGAGAGAGAGAGAGAGAGAGAGAGAGAGAGAGAGAGAGAGAGAGAGAGACGCAGAGAGCCCGGCGGGTCCACCCGCTCGGAATCAGCCTGCTGATGGCATTGGTGCCCGGGGAGCGCCGGGGAGGGACGCGGCCACGGCGCCTCGGCCCGTCGCAACGACACCGGGAGGGGGAGGGGGAGGGGGAGGGGGAGGGGAGCTTGTCGGCAGCGTGTCGCAGGGCGGAGACTGGCAAAGCTGAGCAAAGCACTGTCGCGGCGCCACGGCCCCCAGTATTTTGCTTTGCTCGTTTTGAAGATGGTTTCTTTTCAGTTGCCATTGTTTTACTTTGAAACGTACCAACAAAAGTATAAGGCGCGCTAAAAGGCGCATGAAGGGGCCAGCTAGATTTTGTTTTGCTTTTAAAATGGACCCCATTGGTTTGAAAGAGCAGCCCTTTGTGCACAATACAATCTTTAAAAACATTCCGTTTGAAAATTTTTGTAAAAGTTTGACTAAAAGTGTAGTTGCCAGTTCCGTTCCTTTCGACATACTACGTGCAGTGCAAGAAAAAAAGAAAAAAAGAAGTATTGATTTATTTTTATGTCCAGGCTCCGAGATGAAGAGTAGTGTTGTCTGTCGGCGGCGTCTGCGGTGTTGTACTGAAATGCTTTGGCTCCTGACGTCTGGACGAACCTGGCGTGGTGCCGCTCGCAGTGTGCGTGGCCTGGAGAGTGTGCAATGTCAGAAAAGTGATTGAATAACATGAATGAATGCATGGCGGAATGAATGAATGGATGAATGAATGAATGAATGAATGAGACTGCAGTGTCTGCTGGGCACCATGTCCCCCAGCATGCGCACACCTTTGTAAGAAAATAATCATGAAAATAAAAGACAACTTGAAAACAAGAACACTGTGCTGTGTGTCGCGGTGTCTTGGTGTTCGGGCGGCATTCAGGCGCCATCTTGCTCCCCGCTGTGTTTGCATGGGAACAACCCCCCAAACGAGAGTCTTGGCTGGGCTCGCCGCGGCCCGGCCTTGTCTGAGTGAGGGCCTGACGGGGGGGTGCGGCGGGGGGGGGGGGGGGGGGGGGGCGTCTGGCGGGCCAGCGGGTGGGCTGTCGGGTGGGCTGTCGGGTGGGCGGGCGCGGACGGGCGGGGCATATCGGGACGTTCACCCGCTCGGACGTTCGAAACGAAGGCCGTTCTGCGGTCCGGCCTTGCAGTGTATGCGGTGGTGTGCTGCAGTGGGGGGAGGGGGAAGCTGGACGTGAAATGGAAACGCAAGACAGTGGGGGGGGGGGCGAGGGGAGGCGCGGGTGAAAGAAGAGAGAAGAGAGCCAGCTCGGGGCGTATGTCTGTTTGCATAGCGGGCGGCTCCTTGTATCCGATATTCGGTGGGGTTGCGCGCGGTGGGGTGGTGCGGGTGGAGAGGGGAGGGGGTCCCGGCGCTGCATCCTCGGACCGTGCGGCCGCACAGGCCGTCGGGCCGTTTTCGGCGCCCCTTGCGCCGTGCGCCCCAGGGGGGGCCTCAGGGGGGCCACAAGATCGAACAAAAGGCCCGGCCGAAACAAAGCCGCCGACACTGCAACACTGTGCTCTCATGTGAGTTCCCACACATAGGGCCCCTCGTGGGACCCCCTCAGGCCGTAGGGCGCACTGTGCGGCGGGGTGGCGGGGGCCGCCTGGCCGGGGGCAGGGCGCAGCGTCAACGGTCGATGTCACAGTTTACATCTTTACACGGCGGGTAAGTTCGGGCCGGGAGGGCCGAGGGGCGGCGGGCGGCGGCGGGGCGGGGCGGGGCGCGGCGGGGCGGGGTGGGGCTGAGGGTGCCCCATGCGTTGCACTGAAGACGCTCATGCATCCTTAATGGCCGCCCCGCCGCCCCGCCGCCCCGCAGAGTGGTGCCACACTGATCCTGAAATCAGGCGCCGCTCGCTTCAGACGTCGTCTGCTCCGACGTCAAATGAACGGCCCGGCATGAGCGGAGTGCGGAGGGGGAGGGGGGGGGAGGGGGAAGGGAAAGGGGAGGGGGAGGGGGACTTCCGAGTGCCAGTGACAAGCAGCGGGGAGTCGGGCTGGAAATCGGGAGGCTGGGAAACTCAGCCAGGAACGGATATCTCGAGGTGGCGTCGTGGTCGTGCAGTGTGCTAGAAATGGAAATCAATCGCCCCCACCCGCCCACAACACACATGCAGTAAAATTAGCTTGCTGATGAAAAGTGATGCGTTATGACCGAATCTTGGAGTGAGTAAAAAATTCCAAACAGCTTTTAAAGATGATGGATCCCTGCAGTAAATCGAACGGACGACCTGAAATTGAAGTGTTCGCTCCGAACCGCCCAGAAGAAAACAAGTGCAGTTCTTTTTGTTTTGTTTGATGGCACGCGCGAGACGGGGCAGAAATCACGACTTGTCCAGCAAATGATTAACCGACAACCTGTTGGCAATTCATTCAGCGGCCGAGTCCAACTGTTCGGCTTAGCCTCCCCGGAGAGCCGCAACTGCGGCCAAGGTGGAGCTTCCCCGCGGACTAACTACGGGAAGATAAATAGCCCGGGTCGCGGCGCCTTCTAACCGCGGATCCGAATCGTCCCGACGCCGGGAACGGTTGGGGCAACTTAATTGATCGCGAAGGCTCCGCCTGGCGAGGAGGGCAGGTTGCAGGCGTTGCAGGAGTTTTAGGGTTAGGCTTACCTTGTAGTCGTGCTCGTGAACTGATGGCAGGTACTCGGAGCCCTTCTGATCGTCCCGCGGACATGCAACAAGGGATGGTTTCATGTCAGTCACATCGGCCAACTGCAAAAGTCAGAGCGAGAGTGTGATCCTTGGGCAGGCACAGTGTACACGACACGACACTCAACACGAACAAGGGGCCGGTCCACATTCCACGTCATGGGGCCTTGACGGGACTTGCCCGCTCAGCTTGCAATGCTGGTACACTGTCAAAATTTGGGTTGTCACTTGATGACAATTTCAAGGCTAATTTTCCTTGCAAGAATGTCATCATACCAGTTGATGACATTTTTGTCCATGCACTAAGAATGAAGCTTTGATGAAAACGTTATCAATTTTATCATAAAATTGTCATGCACAATTTTGCCATAAAGTGACAAGAAATTTTTCACAGTGCACTGTGACGTGATATATGGGCGGCCTGGGGGACTTGGAGGGCCGGAAGACCAGTTTTCAGGCGGACACATTAAATCGGGTTGCTTTTCCAGATCCACATTCAACTCCTGTTTAATGACTACACTCCCCTCAACACGAAGTGTGTCCGCCCGGACTGGCCTCCCGGCCCACTGTGAGGGGGCGGCCCGGCGGCTCCGTGGGGCACCAGGGCCACGACGAGCAGCTCGTCCAGGTGTTACGTCACGCCAGCTTAACTAAGGCGGAAACAAAAATGCAGGAAGGGCGGCGCCGGGTGTCGAACCCGGACCGAAACAATGCCGTGTGGGCCTGCGGGCCACACTGTTAGGGCCGCGTCAAGGCGAGGGCCACCTTGATGAAGAAAGCGAAGGCAAAAGGCAATAGATGTCGGCACAATAGCTCGGGCCTCCTCCCCCAATTGGCAGGCAAATTATTCATGGCGTCTCTCTTGCCTTTCCTTCGGTGCTCCAACGCTGTGACGCTAAAGGCCCCTATCCATTTTTAATAGCGAGCGATGGCGAGCGTGGCGGGCGTGGCGGGGCGGGGCGGGGCGGGCGGGGCGGCGCGAAGCGCGTGGCGGGCCGTCTGGCGCGCGGCGGCGTCGACGCCGAGGTCCCGGACAGGTGTCGCAGTGTCCTGCCGAGCGTGCAGCGGGGGTTCACCGCTCCGCCGACGAGGACGGATTGGGAGGCTGGATTTCGAACCGGCTGACGTTAATTCCGGCAGCGGGCCGCTGCCTGCGACGCTGCCTGCGCTCTCTGTCGCACCCGTGCGGCCGCCCGGATCACCCCGTGAGTGCGAGAGAGACAGAGCACCCGTTCCGGAAGTAGTCCGCAGGCTGCGCTTGTCTCCACCGCGTCACGTGGTTTGTGGACTCAGTGCGCCTGCCATGGAGAGGGTAGGCAGTCCCGCGGCACACGGCCGTGCGCCGTGAAGCCCGCCCGCCGCCGCGCAGGGGCCCCGGGCCCGCGGCCCGACGGGAGGGGGCCATGGCCGCCATGGCCCGGCCGGCAGACTGATTCCGCTCTTGGCTTCGTCGTCGATCAGTCTCCCTCGCACTCATGGGGCGTGTCGAGATGCTTTGCGGAATCAGTCTGCCGGAGGCAGGGCAGGTACACCCAGTGAGTTTAGAGGGGAGGGGGGGGACAGAAGAACTCAAGCTTAAAACGCGCGATTTCAGTCCAAATTTCGTCAATTCTGACGTCACTTAGACCTGATTTTGACAACCCCGTCCTCCGCCGGCACAGCGTGTCGCTTGTCCGAGGCGAGGGGGCCCCGTCTCATTGATAGTTGACCAATGTGGTGGCGAGCAGTGCGAGGTGAGGCGTGCCTCCCCAGGGGCACTCGTCAACGAGAGGGCTAGCGCCAGGTGTCCCCCGGGCCGTGTGTGTGTGTGTGTGTGTGTGTGTGTGTGTGTGTGTGTGTGTCGCCCTCCCCCAGACGTCGTGCCAAGGGTCGAAGTCGTCGAAGAGCGGAGCGGAGGGGCGCGCAGGGGGGTGGCGGGGGACAGGTGACGGCTGCGTGAGTAGTGATTTGGCCAGTTGATAGGGCGCATCATTGTCTGTGTGTGTGCGTGCGTGTGTGTGAGTGTTTGCCGCCGCAATTAGCGTCCCACCCAATTCATTCGGCAATGAAGGATCCCAATTACACGCGCGTGCCGCCCCATTAAAGGCTGCATGTCAGCGGGTCGTTACCGCGCCAGCGCGCCCGGCTGGAGCTGGACGAGCCCGAAGGACGAGCACGGATAAGGACTAGCTCGAAGGACGAGCCCTGCTAGGACGAGCCCTACAAGGGACTAGCTCGAAGGACGAGCCCTGCTAGGACGAGCCCTACAAGGACGAGCCCCGCAAGGACTAGCCCGAAGGACGAGCTCCACAAGGACGAGCCGCACAAGGACTAGCCCGAAGGACGAGCTCCACAAGGGCATGCCCTAAGGATGAGCGTGAAGGACGAGCCCGAAACAAGCAGGCAGGACAACCCACCTCTGGACGAGCCCACTTGGCGCGCCTGGACAAGGCTACTGAAAAACAGCCCCCTGGAAAGGCCGGCTGAAAGGGAGGGGGTTCTTGGCGAGGCGCCACAGCGTCTCCCCGCAGCGGCGGGCCCGCTGGACCATGTTTTGTTTCGCGCAACCCCTTCTCCTCCTACCCTCTCCCCCTGCCTCCGCTGCTCCCGTCCGAGGGTAGGCCTGCTCGGGAAAGTGACGGACAGGGCGGCCGGGCTCGGGCCGGGCATGGCCGGGCACGGCCCCACAACGCGCTCCTCCAGCTCGCCGGCTCGGCTCGGCACCGCTATTGATTTCTGAGCATGCTCCGGCCTCGGCTCGGCTCGGCTCGGCTCGGCTCGGCTCGCGCCCCGGAGAATTGCCCCGGTTCGGTCCTCACACCCCCAGCTTTATGAAACTTTGGAGCTCCGTCGAGGGTTTCTCAAAGGCAGCAAGACGGCCGAACGCTCCTAAATTTTGACCTCGTTATGGACCCGCTGGCAAAGCCGCAGTTGGAGCAGAGCCTTGCGACGACTAAAGGTCCCTACTCGTGATACCCGAATGCTACATGCTGCTGCTGCTGCTGACGATGATGATGGTGATGATGATAATGATTTACGGTAAAGGAAGGGTGGGGGCATGTGTGAGTGTGTGGTGGGTGGGCTCGCGGTCGATGTCCGGGCGGTGCGGCGCCGTGTCCGTGAAGTGGGGCCCACCCGGCCCACCTCGGTCCCACCGCGGCGACCCCGCGCCCGGACGCGTAGCTCGGCGCAGCACGGCGCAGCGTTTGTTGACACCAACATCCCACTGCGCTCGATGCGCTCGCCAGAGCTTTGCGCTTCGCGGCCGCAGCGCCACGTTTCGCGCCGAAAACGGGTCATCTTGGCTCTAGCAGTGCGCTAGCCAAAAATCACGGAATTTTCATAATGAATATTGGGGGCCGCTCAGGAGCGCTGCCAATACTTAATCCATGGTCAAGAACACACTTTTACGGGTGAACCGAGCACTCGTCCGTTTCAATAACCGGGAGATGGCCAAACGATTTTTGGGCTGGAAGTTTTGTTTTTGTTCGAGGATAACTCACTGTATTTATGTTGTTGTTTGTTCTGTTCTAATTCGAGCAAGAGAAAGTCCACCCCAACGGGCATAATTGAGCAGGGCTTTATCTTGCCTGCATCCCGCGTTGAGGTCTCCCGTTTGTTGCCTTCTTTATAATTTACCGGTCCCCAGCAGTGCTCAAATTATTCCCAGATTATGAAGGACGTCGTTTTTGAAGAGGCCTCCCAGGTGAAAGTGGAAACCGATTTTAAAAACCGATTATGGAAAAGCCTTGCAAGCACCATGAGACCCGAGAATCAATTCAAAAATTAGTCGCCGTAAGTCAAGTTCTCGTAGACCGAACAATCCTTCGCAAAAGTCCAAAACTCTCCGAATGGCAGTACCGCAATTCGAACTCAAGTCCAACTAGAAGAAAATAAGGGTCATGTTGGCAGTCCTGTATAATGGTGTTGAGTAATGAATAGATAATGCCATAGTTCCAAACTTCAAGAGTTCGGTGGGTGTCCTGGCCTCGGTCCTGACCGCTCAGCACAGGTCACAGGTGTCCGGTATTTGCGCTAACCAAGCGTGGAAATTCGAATGTTCTTTGTCAGACCTCTCCCCAGCTCACATGCCAGGGTGTCCATTACTACCTTCGTATGAAAAAGTAATCCGTCCTCGGAAGGGGCATGCCGACAGGCCGCCAGGACCTGCTGCTGCTGGCCCGTGGGCCGGTACCCCTCCCACCTGGGCCTGCCTGGGCCTGCCTGCTGCCTGGGCCGATCATGATACATTAAAGTGTTGAAGGCGATCAAATATTAACAGGTAAACAAGCCGGCCGCCTGCCGCGACCCAGTCACGTGTGCAGCGTGTTGCCGGACGGCGTCGCCGAGGACACGACGCCGAGGACACGACGCCGAGGACACGACGCCGAGGACACGACGCCGAGGACACGACGCCGAGGACACGACGCCGAGGACACGACGCCGAGGACACGACGCCGAGGACACGACGCCGAGGACACGACGCCGAGGACACGACAAGCAAGCTGAAGGTGTTAGGGGTAGTCTTGCATACAGTGCGGTCACCGCGTAAATATATAGAAACATTTTTCCAATGAGTGCGAGCAATAACGTTCCGGGTAGAAACGTCGGTGCTCGAGTGCCAGCAGAGCAGTCGGTACCACAAATTTTGAGTTATGGATCCCTACCTCGAATTAAACAAAGCTTGTACTACTGACAGAGAGTATTCTACTTTCTCCCAGGGGACATCAGAAGCGCTCGAGAATAGTTTTTGTGACTGTACTGCCTCGTCGTCCTCTGCTGCACTCAGATTGACCAGATTTTCCATACTGTTGTGCCAGGGTATTTCGCACATTGCTCGTGTTGTCACTCATCCCGTGTATTGGTCATATTCTCTATCTTTAGCTAATTTGGCTCCATATTTATGACCAATCTGCACAATTACATGCCTATTATTGTGCAGATTAAACTGCAGATATAGAGAAGCCAATTAGAGAAGTCTTTCAATGCGCAGGATGAGAGAGTTGCAGCCATGCAAGACATGAGGTCCCTTGAGGACCCTTGAGGACAATAAAAGGATGACCCTTATAAGCAACACTATAAGGTCTCACCTCATACTGCCGTCCAAGACATCAAAAGAAACCGTTAATAGAAACGCTTTTGGAAAGGCGTGTATTTTTTTCATTCGTTTTTAAGTGATTCCACGATTGTGAGATGTACTTGAACCTAGGCGAATGTGACGTGCCCTTCGTTGCAAACATTAAACACTGACGATGTTGTCCTTTTGATGTTATAATGACTAAGATCAACATTTCGACATGAAAACAACTTTTGTTGACTATCATACGTGGTGAAGTTCCATAACTCGACCACTTTGTGGCCTTGTGTGCAGAGAATGCGAAAATATGAGTCTATTTGGGGGAGCTGCTGCTCTATTTTGGTGCTGACGGCGTGACGTAACACCTGGACAGGCCGGTGGTGCGGCGCACCGTGGTCGCGGGCCGCAGGGGGCCGCAGGGGGTCGCGGGGGGCACGGTGGTGCGGGGCTACTCACCGAGGGGTTGGCGACGCACCGCCGCATGGGGTCCTGGCCGCGGTACGTTGGCGAGTACCTGCCGGGAAAGCACGGGGTGGGGGCGATGGAGGTCGGGTGCAGCGGGCCGTGCCCCTTGCCGTTCATCATCTTGTCGGGGCTGTACATGGCGGCCATGTCGTCCAGGACGTCAACGAGAGCCCCTAGCGGCCGTGGAGGCATCGCCGCGCTCCGGCGGCATCCTGGAAGCACACAACGCGTGCACGGCCCTGCAGGCCTCGATGCAGGCCCCGGCCTGGGCCACGCCGGCGATCACGTGGTCCGGTGGCGCAGCTGGCGCAGTGGTTGGAGACGGCGGCGTATCCGGTTTGCGTTTCAAAACTCGGCCGCCTCGGCCGCCTCGGCAAGGAGCAGGGCCGTCGGCGCGACCGGGTGCGTGGGAGGAGGGCGACAGGTAAACACACACACGCGCAGTCGCGCACAGACACACACACACCGCGGAGCACCGCGTCAACACAAACACAAACCACGCGCGCACACACACACGTGTCACGGCGCACTACCACAACGAAGCGTGTCCTCGTCACGCGGCGTCACGACATTGTGCAGCGTGGTGGCGATGAGGCCTAGGCTGGGCCTCGGCGGCCTAGGCGGCCTGGAGACGGCGTGCCCCTCGCGAGGCTAGCGGCATGACGAACATTATCCGAGTGTTCGGGCCTCGAGGCAGGCCGTGCGGTGCCACCGTGTGCCACCGAGTGCCACCGTGTGCCGAGGGCCGTGTGCCACCGGACGGTCCGGGCGGTCCGGGCGGTGCGCACAGCGAGGCGCGAGAGTGCGGGCCGCGGGCAGCCGGAGCGACGCGGTAACGCGGACGGGCACGACGTCTGCGCTCGCCAGCGGAACAACTATTGTCAGAAATTGATAAAAAGCGCGCACGCCTCGGCGGGCTGGGCAGCGCGAGGGAGCGCGAGGCAGCGCGAGGGGGTGGGCGGAGGCGGGGCGCGGCGCGGCGCGGCGGAGTGGGGGGCGCTCAGGTTGGCTGCCTCCTGCAGGCCCTGCAGGCCGGAGGCGGAGAATCAGTAATTTTATTGGGATTGTGGATAGGGGAGGCCGCGCTGGAGGGGGAAGGCCACGTGACGCGGTGGGCTGGGCCTGCGGCCGCGGCGGCCCAGTGCGCGTGCGCCGTCCGAGCCACCCTTCCCCCTCCCTCGGCCACCCCCAGCGCTCCCAGCGCGCGGGGTGGGGTGCGGGGTGCGGCGGCCGCGGCGGCCGCGTGGGCCGCGGGGCGCCGTCTGATGTCCGGCCGAGCCTGCCCGCCCCGCCGCGCCCCGCAGCGCCCTCCTCGAAGCGAAAGGATGACCGGGCTGCTCACCGAGAAAAACGCGCATGGAAACGAGATGAGCCGCAAATGACGGCACGCCCTGCACGCCCTGCAGGCCATCATGCATGCCGTGGGCGCGTGGCGCCGCGACGACGCGGCACAAAGCGGCGCCGCACTCCCCGACGGGCCGACGATACCCGCCTCAAAACGCGCCGGAATGACGGGGGCCTTGTTGTCGGAGAGCACGTGGCGCGGTCGCACTGCCGCAACGGCGACGCCCTTTTTCACCATCACCCCACGCCGTCCGCCACACGAGTTCTGCAATGAAATGGCGGGTAAACGATTCCCAGCGCAGTCATATCGTCGTCCTGGCGCCGTCCTGGAAGGGGAGGGCCTTCGCCTTTGCCGCAGTCACGTAGAGTAGTGCACGCACCCCGTTGGCGCCTCGAGCGCCTCGGGCGCCTCGAGCGCCGCGACGATGACATTGCGGCCAAACAGGTTCCGACGCTCCCCCCCCCTCCCACCCCACCCCCACATACGCCCTCGCACGCCTTCTCATCCACGGTCCTTTAATTGCGGACGACGGTGTCCTTTGGTCGACGGCATCCTTGGGTCGACGGTGTCCTCGGGTCGACGGCATCCTTGGGTCGACGGTGTCCTCGGGTCGACGGTGTCCTCGGGTCGACGGTGTCCTCGGGTCGACGGCGTCCTCGGGTCGACGGCGTCCTCGGCGTCCTCCGATCGACACGCCCCCTCGCCGCCCCCTTTATTATACCCGCCGTTCTTCTGCACCGAGTTCTCCGAGTTCCTCCTCATTCTCTTCCTCCTCGTGGCCATTCGGTCCGTGTTCGCCCTGCATTATGCATGCCGCCTCTCCTCCGCCTCCCCGGGGCCCGAGGCCCGAGGCCGGCCCGAGGCCCACACGACTTGTAACTGCTTACCGGCTGCCTTCGAATCCCCGTCATGCGCCGCCAAATGACGCCGCGTAGTGTCTGGTGGTGTCTGGTAGGGCCTGGTAACGTCTGGTAGTGACCGAAGTGTCAGGTGGTGGCTGGATGTTTGATAGTGTTTGGTAGGTATCGCCGACGAATAAAGATTCCAGTAGATCAAAGAGAACAAACAGGTCAGCAGACTCACGTGACTCACGTGTACGAGTGTACGAAACATATTAAGAGGCCTCCTTAGGGCGTTGAGCTCAACACAACCAACCCGTCAGTCGCGAGATGGAGATGACGTCAAACACCCGCGGAACGTGAACGTATAACCGTCGTATCCAGACATAGGGGGTAGTTCATTTCCATCAATAATTCTCATGAGGAGTGCCAGGAGACGGTGGCGGCACGATGGGGATCGAATCCAAGACAGGGGAAAAATTATGCAGTTCACTCAAAGTCTATCACAGAGAATTTTGCCGAAGTGTATACACATGATAGTGAGAGCTCAATTTTTATTTATCACAATTTTTTTCTGACTTTTATTCGATGAGATTTATATTCGAAGAACAAATGAGTTATAGTAACTTGTGTTGTGCAAAAGTTCTCATATAAAGAAATTGAGTCAATTTTCGTCGTAAAAGATTTTGGGTGTATTCGTTCGTATCCACATTGAGGTTTGAGTTTTGTTCAGGAAGGTCTAATCAGGCCTCCCAGGCTTCAGCTTCGCCCTGAGGTTAGTTCATTTGGAAGAACGCCAGCCTGTTTTAATCGGTGCCTTCTCATTGTGATAATTATCGAATAATTTAATTCTAAATTTACGCCTGTTGTGGGGGTGGCGGCTCCACTCCGAGCAGGTGGGCGCTGGGCCGAAATTTTTTAGAAATAGTTGGGCGCAGGCCACCTTGAGTCTCCCACGAGGATGAATAGTGATGGGGCTCGCGGGGGACATAATAAGCCAGCGAATACGACGCAGTGACCGGCCTCCTGCCCACGCCGAGAGGCACGCCCGCCCGGCCAGTCGCCACCGAGAGGGCCAGGCCAGGCCGCCACGCAACGCCGAGCTGGGCGGGGCGGGGCGGGGCGGGGCGGGGCGGGGCGGGGCGTCTCCGAGCCGCGGCATCAAACTTGTAAAAGTGGCCTGTTGGCGTGCGGAGCGCGAAGCCCCAAGCGGCGCCCAGCCGAGTCGAGCCTTTCGATCCACATGTCTTCTTTCCCGCTGAAAGTCGCCGTTAATGAGTCATGGGCCGCGCTGTTGATTGACGCGTCGCTCCACTGCAAGGACAGTCCTTTCTGTTCACAGTTTTCGAACACTCATCCGGCGCACCGTTGTCACAATTTTCTCCATACTTGATTTGATTCGAAGTCCGGTCTTCACAACGATATCTATTTCAGCTAGACTTCCGATTCCAATGCTCGGTCGAATAAGCTGGATTATAGAGAGGATTGTGAATTCAGTGCGCGGTTGTCAAGACATTGTCAAGACGATCCGGCAGCGCGTGATTGGCGGCACACTGTACTTAGAATCTGGGATGTCCGTCTGCCGTGATGTCCGCACGATGCATAGCGAATGCCGCTCGTGCATCATGCATTCCATGTTCGTCAAATCGTAACCCAAATCGTCATCGCGCAGCTCGGCCGCGAGGGCGCGCGGTGCGGCCTCGGACGAGCCTCGAGCACCCCGTCGTGGCCCCGGCCGGCCGGACTATCCCGCTCTCCGTCGAGAAGTGCCTCCAGTCGGCCGAGCGATACGGGCGGCCCGGACGCACTTTGCGAATAAAAAAAAAGAAGGAACTGCGCGCGGAAGAAGAACAGAAGAAGCAATTTCCGTGCCGTTGCCGCGGCAAGTATATGAGGCCATTATCTGGCACGTATTGCAGTCGAGCGGCGCGGCGGGGCGGGGCGGGGCGGGGCGGGGCGGGGCGGGGCGGGGCGGGGCGGCATCGCGGGCCTAGCGCTCCCACCCCTTCGGCCCCAACCCCCTTCAGCCGCCTCGGTCGCCTTCGAATCCATTTATATTGCAGGACTCGCCGCCTTGGCCGCGGCCCCGCGCCGCCCCGCGCCGCCCCGCCTCGCGATCTGCGGGTCTCCACTGTAATTCGATTTCACCCATTACACCTTTATTTTGGGCTTGCGCCGCGCGGCAGCGCAGGCAGGCAGTGCAGGCGGCGCGCGGGTTCGCGTTTTGGCGCCAAAACGGATGGCGGCCGTTGTTGTTGATGGCGATTAGACCGTCTCGGCCGTCTCGGTGTCCCCGAGGAGCGCACTGCGCCGCACTGCGCTCTCATGCCGGCGGAGTGCCAATTTGCAGCAGTTTTGCGTATCGCGAAATCACCGAGACTCTTTTCTTTCATTCTCTTTTTTGTTTTCGCGGAGGCGAAGCAAGGCCGTGAGCAGCAGGGCTCTCCGGTCGACCGAAATAAGCCCTATCTTTTGGGAAATTGAATTCAGAACAATCTTAAACTGTGACCGAACGACGTAGTTCCATTTTATGGAGAGCTGTTGGAAAGATTGCATGAAAACACTGAGCGCCGTGGCATTGTCTTGTCCCTGCACAGCGCGACTCGGCTTGAATTTGACTAAATGAGCAAACAGGAAACGAACCATTGTTTGTGTCAGAGTGCGTATGTGTATTACACGTCGCGGCGTGTGTGTGTGTGTGTGTGTGTGTGTGTGTGTGTGTGTGTGTGTGTGTGAATGTGTGTGTTTGCATGAGTGTGTGTATATTTTGCATACAACATAGCCGGGCATATTCGCAAGATTGGAACATTGGTTCGCAATCCCAAGACCCTCCATGTAGGCAGTGAGGCAGTGTTCCCCCTCCCCTCACGCCTTCCTGCGCCTCCTCCCCTTGCCTTTGCCCGAGTCGCCGACATCGATGTCAAATACATGACTTTTGAATGTTATTGCGACAAAGATTTGCGATGCATCATGGAGATGGCTTCGGCTCTGCGCACCCTCTCGTCGGATCCGCTTCAGCCACGACGCGTCGCGACGTCGGGGTGGCTCTCTTGTCCCTCTTCGTCTTCGGTATCGAACGTGCATACTTATAGAGCCAATGCGGGGTTGGAATGGGACGGTCGTCGGTGGCATTTGCATCTGCAGAGGTGTTTCGCATACGCAACACGCCTGTAGCACAGGAGGCCAGCCACATGTGCCACCACATGAGCCACATGATGGTAAAGATATTTGTGTTTCATTTTCTAAATGTGATCCAGTCTTTAGATTCATTTCCCGGATTTGTGCAATTTGTGCGACGAGCACACGCTAATGCTGCGCCCGATCCGATTTGCGACGAATCTGCCCCGCGGCATGTCGTGGAAAACCTGCGACGACAGCAGCGCGGCGCAAAAAAAATTGCTACGCCGAGAATCGACACTTCTTGTCGTGGCGTAGCGGGCTAGCCGCTTTGCACACACAAACCGCCGTCGCGCACGGCAAGACGCACGCGAAAGGGGAGGGGGAGGGGAGACGACGCGGTCCTCGGCGCCGCACCGCG